AAGAACACGTGGACACAACCCTCATTTTAGAGTGTTTCTCTGGTTAATTGTTGTAGTACAGCTGAAGTGACACCACTGGCCTGTCTACCAACTAATTTTAGGCTAGTAAATACACATGGACTCATCTTACAGCTGCCACTTGACAGCACATGCTATCTTTCACCAAAGAGTTCAGCCTAATTAACACCAATTGCCAGGTTTTCTAAATCAACATTCTAAGATGCAATATACAGATAAGAAAGCACATAAATATTTTAGTACCAAGTAACAATTTGACAGTGCTATTTTGTCTAACATTTCCTCAGATACAGTAGAATTTGTGAATAAAAGGCAAAATTATTATGGCATTAAATAGAGGAATGAAGTTCATACAGAAAGCTAGACAAAATGTGCATGCAGTAACACCAAAAAGTTAACAGCTTCATCTATACTGTACAGGAGGCCTGATTTTCTCTTCTCTGGATCTACTACAATCAGAGAATGGCTGCAGAAATCTTGAAAAAAAATATAAGCTTTTATCTTTGAGCATTTTTTTAACAGACTGTATAGAAACTGAAATAGCCCAAACCAACCCAAACCTAACAAACAGCACAGGTTTTCTCAGAAATGAGAAAGAACAATCAATTCATTCCTAGAAAGTGGGACAGCAACAGTTACGGAAAACCATATGGAATACAGGGACCAATTTTGTACATGCACCCTTTCATTAAGCACAGACATCTCCCTTCTTGTTGTTCTAAGAAAATCTACTTGGCTTGTAAAACTTGAATTTTGAAAGGTGGTTCATTGTAAGACATCACTGAAGCTGTACATTGCATTCCCCTGAAGGAAATGAAGTCAAAGAACTGGAATGTGTGTTATGAGATAGAACTTCAAACAGTGACTTTGAATGCTGTCTTAGTGTTGGTTTTGGTGTCCTCTCTGCCAGCTAATAATGTTTGCAATGATTATTAGAGGACTCAAACCTCAGATCTCTATTTCTCTACCCTCCCAGTTGTCTGAAAACTCAAAAAGCAGCTTATTCCATCAGAGTCATGGGCACTGAATCAGACTCAAAGGTAACACTTCACAAGCAAATTATTGTCCAGCGGCTGGTAATCTAGCTCTGTGCCCAGGCTTCAACAGCAGTGAGGCACTACAGCCCTCACTTACCACTCACCTACCACAGGATCAGGCATTTGTGCTTTAAAATGGTGCTATAAAAACATCCAAAGGTTCTCTACTCCAAAATATGACTTCCTGCCTCCTCTGCAAACCTGCAAAAGCATCTCACATGCATTTGTTATTAGAGATACCAATGCTTCTATGACCTTAGCTGTGATCAGAGACTTAAAGTGGCCATTGTAGCAATTAATTACTTGGTGGCACTGCAGAAGTGACACCTGCAAAACCAGGCAGGCATCAATAAAGAGCATCAAACCTTGAGGCAAAGCTCAGACTGAGAAGGTATTATCACAGTGTTCTATTCTGTGTGCACACCCAGAGAGGAACATCAGATAACCTTTGGCTCTGCTTGGAAGATCTGCAGCTTTGGGGGAATTTACTCTGTGCAAATGGCAGAAATGCAAAACAGGTTTTTTACAAGTGTCTAAACAGTAATTATACAGCCCTCTCCCCAGCCTGGAGCAGATTCAATCATATTATTAATTTTGCCATGAGTCAGGCTAACTCTCAGAAGGCACAGTGTAAACCTTGATATTGCTCTTCAGGAAAACAAATTGCTACTCTGGTAAGAAAGAGATCCATTAATTTTGCTGGTCTCTTCCATCTCTGCCAGCCAAAGACCATAAACACAGCACACACTGTGAGGATTCTTCACTGCCAGTGTACTCAACTGCTTTAGAGCATCCAAGGAAAAGAAACTTGGAAAGGAAATACAATATTTACCTCCATAAATTCAAGAACAGAGGCCAATTAAAGCTAAGTAATTGTGCAAGGCTGAACAAAAATATTATTCTTACTACTTAAATTATTTACTTTAGGGGTCAGCTGAGTAGGCACCTTGCCCTGTCAAGCAGGACTTATTTTTCAAGCTACCCCTTCTGAATAATTCATACTTCCAACACTCTTTGTTCTAGATTCATGAATATTCTCTCTTATGTCCATTGAAAAATTAAAAAGCAATTAAAAAAAAGTTTCAATGTTGGACTGAAAGTAGCTCTTTATCCTGTAGTGGCTGTGACTAAAAAACACAAAGAGCATTTTGTTCTATGTGCTACACCCACTGGAAGATTAAACACCTACAGTGGAGGAAAGATTAATCTTTTTAAAAAACCACCAGTGCAAGAAACTTCAGACAAATGGTTCTGAGGAGTATATTGGGCACCAGCAGCTTCTACATACCCTGGCATCATAGTTACACTCCTATAGCATTACAGACTCAGGTGGGTCTTGCCTACGTGGTGCTACTCAATGGCTTCATACTATGCAAACTATAGCTGAAGGAGAACCTCTGCCCAGGCTGCTTTGCCAGGTCAGAGTGTGGCCTAAGGCCACTGCCAGCCCTTGGTTAGCCCAAACACATCAGGCTTCTTGGCATGTTGTTAACTGTTCTATGCAGGACACATGTAATATATATGTTTACTAGCTGAACCTTTTTAGGTACCATCCGTATCTTCTAAACGAATTACAATGTAGAAGCCAAGGAAACATTTGAGGTACCAAGGTAAAACTTTGAGTTCCAACATCCTCCTGCTACTTAGGTTTATCAGAACAGCTGCAGTGCTACCAAGAGATAAACAGTAGAGCTGGTCATTTATCAACAGAGTCAGTTTCTCATTTCATAGATCAGATTTCTCAAGGTGCAGTTTGACACAAAAAAAAGCCCAAAAGCAAACAGAAAGCTGACACCTAAACAGACTGTAGTTTAGGAAGTTGAATGAATGCATTTTGCAACTCAGCACCTAATCACCAGTGAGATATTTCCTAGTCTAGACACCCTCCTTGGCAGATACTGCTTTGTCTTCCAGCACAGTGAACGTGCCTGACCAAGAGCAGGAATAGATTTTTTTTCCTACCATCTGTGACAGCTGTATCAGGAACAGGACATTAGTTCCTTTATACTCTAAAATTACCAGGTTAAAAACAAGGTAATGACCAAACAGTGGTTATTCATAACTTCTGCCAGACCTGCTTCTGTACTGGGATCTATCAGATCTGTGCAGATAAAATGGGGTCATACTCTGTCACCCTCCACATTTTGGGTGCCCCAGTAACCCTGATGAGGCCACATATTCAGCTGGGAAATAACTTGTGGTTGCCCACTTCACTTGACACTGAGCCCAAACTAAGTTAAGGTGTTTTTTTGTTTTGGTTTGTTTTTTTTAAAGGGTTTATTCAGAAAGTCCAAACCAGATGACACAGTTACAAAGGGTTATCAAATACGAAGTTGCAGAAGTTAAAAACAGAGATGCATAAATCAATATAATGAAGTTAAGTATGGAACACCATCTCCCCTTCCCTTTCCCAGCTGATTTGCTGCTGTCACAAGCTGAGTACCTCAGAGATCCAGCCTTGCTTCACCTTACAAATCAAGCTGCAGTTGTTAGGAACAGTTTCTCTGGCAGAAACACCACCTCCTTTGGAGGTTCCTGTGCCCTGTAAGACCCAGTCTCCCTCCTGAAGTTCGCCAAAAGGTCCAGACTGAAACTTGCTCTAAGCCTTCCTTACACAGAAGGCACACTAATCACACAGCTTGATTACAACAAGCCTTATGTCACCTCCTTGATCCTGTCCTGGCTATTAAACCTGAGCCTGTGCAGAAGCAATGGATCAACTGCTGAATATTAAATCCAATTTCAGCTGTTTCTAAAATGGATTAAACAACTGTGGGAGATTCTGCAATTTGCTAAGAGCATCATCTGAATCAACCAAGCAGGGTAGCAGCAATGCTTGGCGTTACTGCTCAAGCATATTTGCAGACCCTGAGGCCTGACAAAGCAGAAAACCAGCATGTGTGGAACTTGAGAAGACCATGAGGCACAACACAGCAAGCCAGAGAAGGCAGAGAGTAGCAGGAACCTCCAGGCTTTTAGCCTCAGCCTTCCCTGTCTCCTGGTCAGGGGAAGCAGGACAGAGTGTGCCCTGCAATGAACAAAGGATGTCATGATCTTAATGTCAATAGTCAATGTTACCTTAATGTCACCTTAATGTCAATGTCAATCAGGTGGCTGTTTCAATTGGTTCTTCCTTTTTATACTCTTTAATACACGAATGAAAGGTCATATATCAGTATCAGTTAAGAAAGTAATATTTCTGTTTCACCCACCAGAGATACACATCTCCATTATAGAAAGCAGCTGTTCTCCTATAGGAAGGGGAGTTGGCCCCATCTTGCATCAAGGAAAGCTAAAGCTCTCACCCTCCTCCTTTTGTGAATCACTGTGTATGTTCCAGTGTGAAATGAGCCTTACACTGACTTTTATCCCCATCCTGATGCACTAACCAGCATAGGTAGCTTAGTACATGCATCCCCATGGGAATAAACACACATTGCTCTTTAGTGCCTCTTGACTGAAACCAGGTAATAGCAAACAATAATCTGTTCAGGGACTAGTGAGTAACTAGTGCTTCCTTTTCCAAAAACTTTTGCCTGAAGTCAGTAACAATCCTGAATGGATGCCAAGTCCCTTCTCTCAAGTCCTTCTTCAAGATATTTCAAGAGCAAAATATGGACTGATGAGGAAAAGCAATCCCAGAATTTACTGAACTTCAGAGAGACTCAGCTCTTGCAGCAAACGAGAAGCTTGACACTGTATCAAAGCTAGAACTTCACCATCTATTCCTACATATCTCACCCTGCTTTTGTTCTGTTTAGCACCTAAACTATGGTATAAAGCCTATGTGCTAGTTACTGTTCTCAAGTGCTGACAGTTGGTTGCAAAAGATAAAAAATATAAAACTTATAAAACTTGCAAAAGATCAAGAGGACTTGTTCTCAAGTGCTGACAGTTGGTTGCAAAAGAAACATATAAAACTTGCAAAAGATCAAGAGGACTCACAGGATCAGTCAGTTCAGGCAGGCTGGCTTGGTAGGTGAGAGGTCTGCAGTCACGAGTGTTGCTCACCAAGACACAAGGAAGAAACATTGGTCCCAAATCATCCCCATCAAGCACATCTACTGTCAGGGTGGTTGTACTCGTCCTTCGCTCATGAAGGTTCTGGGCTCTGTCCTGTGGAGCACATGAGTTACATGTGGTGAGGCTTTCTGAACTCAGAATCTTCAAGGAAAGTTTAAAATTAAATCCATGGGCAAACCATACAAATACCATAATTATCCAGGTTCTAGGAAATAGCTCACTATAGAAACTTCAGCCTCAGCTACAGCCTTTAATTTCATAAAGGCTCAGCAATACAATGAAGAGGTAAAAGTTTATCTCTTGAACTAAGAAATGCTCTGAGACAACTATCACTCAAAAATAATACAGTTTTGAGAAACCAATTCTCACAAAATGTGTGAAATGAAGATAAATGTATTGTAAAATCTATAAAAAAGCAGCATATTTGTATAAGATAAAAAGTCCCTCGTGCCTTACTTGTAATCTGAAATGTACTCTTATGCTGCCTGGTGCAGCTCTACCAAATCCTACCTGTGATTCTGTGATGTACAGAAATGGCAAGCATAAGCAGTAACAACTTCTTTGCTAAGTAGCAGTGGAGAAGCCCTGGCCTGTAATGCTCAAGCCACCTCTGCGTGCCACAGTTTAAGAAAAATTCAGCACCTACCTTCCCTCCCCCCAAGAAACAAACCTGACAGAGGCCAGCAATGAGATTGATCCAAGATCTCCAAACAGTCCTGATTTGTTCAGAGAATGAGGTACACTGCTCCTGTTCTAAAGGTTGAAGAACACTTGTGTCCACAATAAAGCAGGTACAATGCTGCACCCTGACAGAGTCTCCATGCTGCATAACAGGCTCTTTTCGATGTCTCATGGTTTGGCTTTATGTACTGATTAATTTATTTTTGTTTAAATCTTTGTGTTTACAAGATATCATCCAGTATTGCAACTTCTTTATTGTCTCTTTTTTTTTCTTTCCAGACAATACAGAATATAACTACACTTTCCTGAATTGTGGGAACCCTCTGGATTGTTTTTACACACTGAATGGTGGACACACTAGCAACAGTTCCCTTTTTCCTTCTTTGTCTGTTAGCACAGTGAAGAAAGAGCATGACTACTCAAAATCCTTAAAACAGTAAAATAAATCTCCATTTTCACAGAGGAAGTGTTATGATAGCTTTCTTTACAAAAATAAAATCTTGTGGAGGTCACCAGCTGAATCTTGCCCTCCTATCCTACGATAACACTGACAGAAAAGAAAAATTACTTCTTTTTTTTAAGAGGAATTGGTTGCTGCTCTTCATCAGTTTGGATACATTTTTTTTTCCTACTTTGCACCTCTTAGCTCTTGGTCCCACTTTACATTTAGAGTTACTAAATATTGGAATTCCTCAATTCAGCTTTCTTAACAGTCAAAGATGAAAACCAAGAGCAGCTACAAGGAGCAGCCTTCATCATCAACTAATCTTTTTTACATCCCCTCACTATATGCCTTTGAGTAATACTGGATTGAAATAGACACAGAGTAAATAGTTTCATCTAGTACCATCAGGATTCAAGAACAATAAATGATCACTGCTCATGCAATCAGTGGAATAGAAGTACATAAAGTACTGTACATACATAGACATAATTAAATGCAGTCAGCAATACTTTGTAAAATGAAAAAAAGGAGAAGAATGCATAAGGCAAAGTCCTAAAAAAGCTGGGCTATGGAGCTTAATTTCTTTGAGATCTAGTTTCTCATCTGTGAGCACTCAAAACTTGAGTGAGCTCAGTTCCCATTTAGAGATGTTTGAGAAGACACACGGCTTTGCAAGACACATCAATCCTACAAGTACATGTACAACCATCACAGAAAAGCTACCAACACAGCTCCAGTCCCAAACCCAGCACCACAAGGTGACAATTTCCTGTGTATATCAAAAGGAATGAATCAATGAATATAAGACTGCTTTGCAGTACTGCCACTGTGCAGCCCCAGCTGAACTTCAGCAGCTGCTCCCGCAGCATGAAGGACTTCACTCCTTCTGTGAGGTGTTAGCAAGAACTGCTCAACTACTCCAGTTACTTTGCCAGGAGCACTGTTTCTCCTGAACTCACAGCTCTGACATCAAAGGTGAAGAGCTGTGAATACACAGTGTAGACCTGCAGAACAAATTACTGATAAAACAAGCCAAGTCAGCTCTGATTCATGGCCAAGAGATATTCATGGTCAAGAGACCAGAAAATTACTTTACCCAGGTAAAATCTCTTCTTCTACCAGCCTTAACTGTGTGGGCCAGGAAGCATCTTCAGATATATCTAAGTGCAAAAAGCACTGAGGTGCCCCCAGAGTCTGTCTTATACTGGGGGAATGCTGAGCATGCTACAAATATGCAGGGAAGTGGACTGCAAAATGTATCTACAGTTCTGTATCAGAAAGATGGCAGCAATATAAGTGGGCTAATTCAGCAGCAAGCAATCTGAAAGTTGCTTCAGAGCATTCCCATTTTCTCACAAATGAAGCAGGATCACAATGGAGGAAAAGTTTTCATTTCACCTACTGTCAGAAGGACAAAAACAGGAGGGAGGGGGGAAGTTTTCCCAAACTTCACAGGCACAAAAAAAAACTTATCTGATGACAGATATAACATATATAGTTTAAATATCACTTTTCTTCTCAATTTGCATTATCCACTGCCAGCCAGCCCACAAAAACCTCTGCATACACTTGGAAACATGACTTGAAAGAAAAATCACCTAAGTGCAAAAAAATGCATTTCAAACTTGAAGGCCAGAAGTAAACTGAATCCATCCTCTGAGATCAAATTAGCATAGTAAGAATTGTTAGCAAATGAACACTGAGTGACACTAGAATGCACTTTTCTGCATGGGATGTACTTCAATTTTGCAAATTTTCCTTGTGCCAGAAGGTTATCTTGTCATACACATTGAGCAAGCTTTTTATCCAGTAATAACATGCCTAAGCTTTCAATGACCTCAATGTTAAATAAGATCTTCAGGAGAAGAGGATTATCAGACCTGGCATTCCAGTAAGACTTTTCCTTTCCTTGGAAAAATCTAAATCTGGAAACCAATACACCACTTAAATCAGTGCTGTAAATGAGCAGATCTATACTTACATTTGCTTGGACAATGACAAAGTAACGTGTCTTTTCTTCATAATTCAGTCTCTCCCGTAGAACTACTGCTCCAGACAGTGTGAGAGGAATATCAAAGGTCCTGTTGGAAGCCTGTAGAAGTTAAAAGAGTACAACAAAATTGAACATGCTTCCAGGCTAAAACATGTTTCAAGTAGGCCACGATGAGATGATCTGTTGGATGGCTTGTCAAAACTGCATCTGCTGTCCATGCCACAGATGTAAAGTTTTTCTGTTTTCTGCCCCCCTGATTTGCTCCCTCAGAACCCCACAAAAAATAATCTGTATGTAACAAAACTCTGTCAGATTCTTTGTATATACGTTACTACTTCCAGCCACAAACTGAAGTCTAACTATCCTTGCCATATTGAATTTTCAGTGGTGAGTTCAGAAAAGCTTTCCCTATTTGTCAGCTGAGAGTTCAGGCCTTCAGTTTCTACATTTTGTCTTCCCTTCACTTACTTTTTCTCACTATTGTAAACAGTATCCAGTACGAGATCTCAATAAATCCACAGTATTGTAATTATCTCCTCTTTATTCTGCTTTTCAGCCGGGCAATGAAGTAGTAAACACAGGGAGAAGATAAACTCTACCCACTTAGGTGCCAGTTAATGCACATGTTCATTCAGTGCTAAGTTCAGATGTCAGGGCAAATCAGAAGAAATTCAGTTTATCCTGCATATTTACTTAAACAGATTCAGATAATAAAGCTGTGGCATTGAATGGCAAAAGGGGACACTGCTGGGGAACACATCTTTATAGGATACACTTACACTAATGGCCCATTTTGGGAGGAGGATTAAAGACACAGACATGGATTTCAGATTGAGATTTGGTCCCAGTTCTGTTACCAAATGAATACATCAGAAATGCTTCTATCCATGCAGAATATATTTAAGTATGTTACATGAGTAATAACAATACAATATTCCAAAATGTCTCCACAGAAAACACTTTCAAGGTACAGAGTACAACTCCCTCCTTAGATAATAGCAAGGCCTTTTTTTCTCTAACTGCAATGAAGCTCCAAGACAATTAAAAGATGCACACAACCCCAGCACAACTCAGTTGCACTTCCATCCAATGCTGAAATGAGCCTGTATTCCAGAATTTTGACAATGCTTTGTCACCTACTTACACCAAGAGAACAAAATTGTTTGTCTCCTCACTTTAAAACAGAGAAAACAAAATGCTTTTGTACAGCAGTCTTCATAACTCACATTTGTCAGCCTAGATTCCTGAACATGGGCCAGCAAATTCAATATGGTGAAAGTCACCAGGGTAACAACACAATTTACTCTCCAAAGAGATGGTATGTGAAAGATCAGTGTAGCAAAAACATTATGCATATTTCTGAGCTCCAGGTAAACTCAAATGTTTAATTTTGAATCCTCACCAAACACGATACAATGAATCCCAGTAAAATTAGCTAGTAAGGAGGGAGTCCCGACTTGTTTGAGGATACATTTGTCTTAATAACCTTCAGGGTTAAATGGAGCTCTCAGAGGTCTAAAAATCCACTCATTCATTGAGTTGATCCTTAGCTTTTAACAGCCAAGAATTAGTATCCAAAATTGGTATCCACGCTTATGAGTTATAATCTGTTTGCTTTTTCTAAGGCAGGAGACTATGTCATTGGCACCAAAGAAAACATCACACAATAGAGGGGGATCCTAAAAGTAGAAAAGTGGAGAAAGTCCTCACTAAGCTGTACACAATTTCTGAGTATGGAACAATTGTTTCCCAGGTTAAAGAAGAAAACCCACTTGTATCAGATATTATACAGTAGTTTGCTGGCAGCCTGACAGCTGAGATGAAGCAGCTGATGAGAAGTCATCTCTGTCAAGCACACACACAAAACCCATCACTGGGTAAAAGCAGTATTATGCACAGGAAAGCTATCTACAGATGAGAGAATCAGATTTATTTATTCTGGAACAGAATAGTAGTAAGGCAAAGATGCAATAAAGCCACTAACTACTTGTTCCAGCCAGGGAAATGCCCTCACTGTTCTTCACAATCACTGAGAACTAGGAAGTTTCAGTGAGAAAGAGAGGAAAGTAATGTTTTAAAAAAGGTTTTTGAGCTCTTCCTGTAGCAGAACACCAGACCAAGCCACTTAGGGAAGCTATAATGACCTTCTATTAGTGATTAGACCAACCTCTCTGCACTCCTGAGGTTACAAACACAGTGGGAGATGATTCTGGAAGAAAAAAAACCTATGTCCACAAAATACATAGATATAGTAAGTAAACATTATGCCTCAGCATGTAGCTGTGCAAAAATCAACAATTAACCCAGTGAAAAGAAAAATTAGGCTCTTACATCATTAGTTCACACTGAATTATTCCTTGATACTGTCACTATTCTTCAGAATTCTACCGTTTCAGAAATATAAGCACTAAAAGTAATTCAGTAGATACGTAAAATCTTTTTACTTCAATGGAAATTATTAATTAATTAATAAGCTTTTTGTCTCTAAAAGGATGTGTTTGCAAAGATAATAGGTGGGAATCACTACTGTTTTAATAATATGCATCCCCCTTTTTATAAAACAGTGATCTTTAAATATAAATGGCTCCATGAGAAAAGACAGAATGTCTCTTTTGAGAGTAACTTGGCCATGCCTATGAATACTTCTTATCTTATGTATGAATATAGGTACACCTACTCATCAAGGACTGAAAAGGCACACCAAAAACCAAGATGAAGTGTGTGAACAACAGTGGAGTAGGCAGGGGATGATGAATGATACTGAAGTAACCCAGCTGCTAAAAGGGAAGGTAAATTCAGCCCTGGTTACATGGCAAGGAAGGCTCATAAGCAGAGAAGGTGTTCTACATCACGAAGGAAAGGACTTCTTGATCAAGTCCAAAAGCAATGTCTTGCTCATTTGCTGCTTCAAGGTGTATGTATATAGACAGACCTGGAAGAAAAAAACCCACCAAACTAATGGTACTTACCTTGTCATTGGGATTGTATTGGATGACATATTCTATCTGGCCGTTTGGACCATCATCTATGTCAATAGCACCATTGTTCCCAGAGAACCCTGTAAAGATGGTTGTTCCAACAGGAGTTAACTGCAAGAACAGAGACAGACAGACAGACACCCATTAAAACCTTAAGACATGCAAGAAACAACAAAGGAACTGCTTGGAAAGTTGTTGGTCGGTTTGTTTTGTCCCATAACCCTAGTCTGCAATGCAAGGCTGACATTCTCTGGTCCTCTTGGCTCACCCTGGAACCTCACATGTGAGCCAATATTTAAAATCATGTACTCAGACCCTGATTTAACTGACACCCAATGTCACATAAAGAGTGAAACTTACTTCCTTTTTTATTCCACAGTGTCTGCATCAAGATAAAACCCTATTTGTTTTTAAAAGATAAATATGAAAAACAGTCATATCAATAAAGTAATTAATAAAATAACAATAAACAGATTTTAAAAAAAACCAAACAACCCAAATAGCTACTTTTTCAGACTCAGGAAGGAAAATGAAGATGAGCTGTGAAAGTAACCAGAACATATTTAACAGCATCTCCATAATAATGTGAATAGCCAGATAAATACTATTACATGCAAACACAGACACCCAGAGAGCTTTATGGCTTTTAACAAATACAAGAATTATGCTGTTTCTCCAGTAGTTAGTTGGCAGCAACTGAATACCCATAAAATTGTACTTTGAGAATGAGTCTATTTATCATTATCCTACTGTAGCTAAATAGCATGAAATCAAGACCCATTGAAATCCAGGACAGAAGTCCAACTGACTTCTGGGGAGTAATAGTTTCCAAATTTTAGTATTCAGAAAACTTTGTGAGTAATCAACCTGAAAGAGAAAAACAAATGAACAAACAGTTCTGAATTACAACATAAGACATTGCTCCTAGTCATGCTTCCTGCTGCTGCTCTCATCACACCCAAATTTTTGGCCCTTGAATTCAGAGACCCACTGACTCCTCTTCTTTTCTCCAAATTTTACATTAGGTTTTTGCACATCATAAAACCCATAGGCTATTAAAAGGTTGAAAATGCTTTAAAATAAAGTGGCAAAGGAGAAAGTGTCATTCAACATTTGTTGCAAATGTGGACGCTATTTCATTTTCTTATTTTCTAGTTCACACCATAAAACAAATAATTAACTGCCCGTTTCCTCCTACAGTCATAGTTCCTGGTCTTGTTTTACATACAGAGCTGCTAATTACTTTAAGAGTTTACAAGCTGGCTTCTCTGAGAAGTATTTTCGGGGCTGAGAATACTGAATCTGTGAAAAGAAAACACCACTAACGCAAAGCCTTTTTCATAATAAAACAAGTGGGCCTTACTTTAAAATACTTACATTAACTACACTCAGGCCACAATAACTGTATGTTTATGTTTTGTGACAAACCTGACCTGCTTACTCTTGGTAAAGATAGTACAAGTGTCACATGTGGGTGTAGGAAGTTGACTGTTCCCTTTTGCCTACTAATTGTGAGATAATTACCTCACAGAGACTCTATGTAGCCTTTCAAGAGCCCAGGAGAGCAATCATCATGAAAATATGAGCCTTGCCTGACAGTAAGAAATCAGAGTCAGCTGTCATCAGCCCTGGGGGGGTAACTCACTGCTTAATGACAAAGTGCAGATGTAGGGGAGAAAGGGTGGCTTCAGGTCTTTGTAAGGTGGCAGGAGGACAGAGCAACCTGAAAACCAATTTGGACAATTTACAGGATGGCTTGTGATATTTTTTCCCTCCACAAATGATGGGCTGTCCTGGGCTGGCCAACAGACACCCTCCCAGGTGCCCTCTCACCCCTCTCCAACTGCTCAGGGGGAGAAATTCAGATGAAAAGGCTGGAGGGTAGAGACAGGGAGTTCACTCACCCGCTGCCCCCACAGGCAGGACAGACTTGACAAGGGGAAAAATAATGCACTAATAATAAAAATTACAGACCTCTGGAAGTCAAAACAGCACTTTTCCCTATCCCACCCCCTTTCCTGAGGCTCACCTTCACTCCTTAACCACTGACTCCTCTCCACCTTGGAATTTTTACCTCACTCCTCACTGCCACATGAGATTTTCCCCTTTCTCAACTCCCTCGCCCTGCTGAGGTGCCAGCAGCTTGGCTGAAGGGCCAGGCTGGGGCAGTCCCAGCCTCTCCTCACACAGACTCCACCTATGCAGACATCCATCACAGTACTAAATAAAACAAAAATTTTTCCTAGTATCTAATCTAAACCTCCCCTGGCACAATTTAAGGCCACTTCTTCTCATTCTATCACCGGTTATGTGGGAGAAGAGACTGACCTCGCTACAACCCCCTTTCAGGTAACTGGAGAGAGCAGGGAGGTCTCTCCCCTCAGCCTCCTCTTCTCTAGACTAAATAACCCCAGTTCCTTCAGCCGCTCCTCATAAGACTTGTGCTCAGAAACAAAACATCCTTGTTGTAGTAAGGGGCCCAAAACTGAACACAGTATTTGAGGTTTGGTTTCCATTGAATTCAGCCAGCAGCTCTACCCAGCAATAGTTGTTCACTCTGTTTCATCCAGAGCAGTTCTAGGGGATGCTGACAGGGTGCAGCTAAGTGATGACTAACATAAAAAGGCTCCAGCGCAGTAAAGCACATCATTAAGTGATAACAAAGGACATAGTTGTAAAATTGAAATAGCAGTAAACACCAAAATTGCTATTGCATGCTCTTCCCATAAAATTCAAAAGCCCGAGCTCGAGTCTTGGATTTAGTGTATTACATCCAAAAGTACTGCAGATGTACAGACTTTCATGAACTTGAGACACAGGTTTCTGTGGTATCTACACTTTCTTTTATGCAACACAAAATGATATGACAAAGCACATGGAAAAAAAAAATCCCTGCCACTCCCTCACTTCCTGAAAGTCAGAAAAACTTCACTTGTTTAACTCAATTTTCAAGCCTGCCCAAGCTCTCTCATCAGAGATTACTGCAGACTTTGGAAAAAAAAAAACAACAGGTGAGCTCTTAAATAAATATCTCAAACTCCACATGTAATTGGAGACATTCAGCATTTAGAGCTACACAGTATTTTTTACACTGAGATCTCAACACTGTGATGACTGACCATTAGGCAATGACACCACTTTCACCCACAACTGGTGGGAACTTTCTGACAGACTGCTGTCATCATTCACTTTATTACTGGAACAACAAGGAGGAACTCAGTTCACCTTATAAAATGTGACTATATCTATAGTACTATATATATATTATTATTAACATACTGTTCCTCATCAACATGAATAATCCCATTTATCTAAGTTAAATCAGGATTATTTAGTATGTGAACAGCCCACAGGGAGCTGTATTCCTAGGAAGAAAGGTAATATGGGAATGAAAGGCCTATTTTTCTAGCAAATGTTATCTAAAGCATGTAACCAAAAGCTAAAAGAGCAGGCTGAAAGCCTGGATTTGGTCCCATGCAGACATAAAATGGGCAGGCTATCAATATGTGTGTATGCAAGCACAACAAAGTGGCTAATCAGATTTTTGGCACTGGCAAAAAGCAGAACATTAAGATGGTTTGTATTATACTAAATAACATACATCATTTCTCAAACCAGTGATCAAATTTGTTCTTTACTCTCTAGACAGTAAAGGCATATCTAGAGCTCCAACCACCATTGCTATGTCAACCTGTAGTAGAAAGTTTCTGCACAGCACCCATTCTCCACCAGTTTCCAACCCAGTTCCCTCTGTGGAAAATCTCTCACTTCTAAGTCTTCTGGGAGATGGCAAAGGTGGAAATATATCTGTGGAGGGGTTCCTGACTCTTCTGCTTTCCTACCTCTCAGGAGGGCCAAAAAATGACTCTAGAAAGCATTGTCTGAGCTGTCCTCAGAACACCACTCATCTCCGTCCTATTAGACATGCCTCCTCCAGAGACACCTTGCAGACAGGAATTTTGTTTCCCCATGAAACTGTGCATCTCCTACAGAAAGGGACTGAAGATACATACAGCAAACTGCTTGACCATGCTGAGAGTCTTGTCTTATGTAAGATAAAATGTTAGAAATTGTAAATAAATTATATGAGTATTAGTGGCAGTTGGAGGATGATAATCTCTGTGAGAATTCAGAGAGGTGGAAAAGAAGCTTGATGGCAAGAAAAAAAAGTGAGATTTTAAAAGACTGTAATTAAACAAATAGAGAGGAAATGCACACAATGTATCTTCTTCCACAGTCAACAGCTGTAATGCTTAAAAAAAGTCCTTTAATGTGATTTATGTGTATTAGAAGCCCAGATGCAGACAGGAATGTTCAACAATTCCACAAAACATTCTGAAAATAAATTTTCTTGTTATTGTCTGTTTACAAAGTTAAAAATTAATAATTTTTCACAGTGGCCCCAAAGAGCAGAGGAAATCAAGATTTACAGTTAATTATTCTCAGCTAATATTATTTTGATGATGTCTACCTGCAGAGATTAATTATTGCAGTACCACAAGGTAAAAGATCAGAATAATTACACCAGAAGCAACGAAAATTCAGCACAAATTACAACTCTCAACAGCCCAAAGCCAAAGTTTTAAGATGACTCAAGTTCAAGAAACACACTTATTTTGCCAACTTAAGGGGGAAAACCCCCCAAAAAACTAAAATACAAGCCAGCTCTAGAATTTTGGTGTACAAGCAGAAAATTCTTAGCAGCTATAAGGTTAGGTATATTTAATAAAGTAACACTGACTCCAAACAGTATTCTAATAACTCCACTACCATTTAAAAAAAAACAAAACACACAACCTGTCATTAAATACTTCTGAGCTTGCCAACACTGCTGCAACACTTGGGTGTTCCTTATGTGAAAAATTAATACAAAAAAACCCCAGACTTATAAAAGCCAGGTAATGCACAATTAGAGTTGTATTAACTGAGATAAAATTCTTTAAGATGTGTTTAACACAAACCACAAACAACCACAGTTCCTTCATAGTAGTACAAGATATTAGTTTCCAGTTCCTATATTAGGTATAAATATTTAAAACTCGTGGCAATACTATAAATTTGCCCCTGGAGAGTTACCTGAGCTGCATAATTCCTCTGGATTCCAACCTAACTATGGAATTTTCGTTTACTATACTGCAGTAACTCGTGTCTTTAAGTCACTAATATGCAGGGTCAAATTTAGCCCCAGGCTTCTGTCATTTTGTCAGAATTTTTTTTTCTAAATTAATAACAATATATATAAGACAATATATAACACAAAAAACCCAAAGGAAATAACCCTGCAGAGTATTTCTAACTATCAGAAATTTTAACATCAGCCTCACCTCATTTTTACTTTCATGAGGAGATTCATAATGCTGCAGCTAGCAGCTGGATTTGCTTTTGGATGCTAGCTCTCTTTGTCTTGGAAAAGGGTAAGAAAAGGAAAAGGGAATTGCTCCTAAAAGGTAGCACCTCTCTAAAGGGGTATAAGATAGATGAAAAACCTGAAAGAGCAGCAGCATGTGGCCAGTTGGAACATGAAGGAAGAGAGTTCCAGCAGCATCAGCCCCAGTTTGCCCTAAGGCATCAGATTTTGCTTTCTTCATGCTTATGCACTTTAGGAGGACCTTAGAGGTGGGAGAAGGCAGACCAAAAGGAGTATTAATGCTCAGAAATACTGAGGCTACCAGCAAACAGGTGTTAATGATGAAATGCTCTACTCCTAAACTGAAGGATGGCTTTAAAGTCAACTTCTGAACTTGGACCTATCAACTTCTGAGCTGTGAGAGAAGCCTGTGAGAACACAAAAGAGTTTGATACAGATGAGTCAGTACTTCTTAGCATAAGGATTTTAACACATACACGTTCACGAGCAACAGGGGAAGAAACAACTGGCCAAGAGCTGTGACACGCACTGCCTTTGGTCTCAGCTGTTTTACAGCTACCAGTGGCTGGAGCTTGGGTGAGCTCACTAGGGAAGCAGCGCTTCATGTTTCCCAGTCCTTACGCTCTTTCCTGAGCATTTGCAAGAGCCACGGACAGAAAATATAGTGGACTGGGGGAGCTTTTGGTCTAATTGAGTTCTAATTTAGGATGTCAACCCTCTTTTTCTGACTAATCAACTGGCATATGTTTTTTTTTTATAAATCAAGATACTACCCTACCAAATCAATCTCATTCTAAGTCTTCTGGTAAAAAAAAATAATGGGCTGAATTTTAAACCATGTCCTTTTATATACTAATGGAAATGACACATATGAAACTAGGTTTTTTGTTGGCATTCTGAACTTTTACAAATTTCTTCTAGGATTTTGTTGACAACTCAAATATAAAGAATCTTTGACATAAAACCCATTTCATTTCTCCAAAATACAAGTTTACCCCATGACATTTCTGAAACTGAAGAAGTACCTAATAAAGTAAAATCTAGCTACAGATATTTGTCTTGTATTACAGATGCCAATAATTATAATAGTTCTAGAATATCTCTCAAAAACAAAAACGGGGGGG